GTTTTCTTGGTATTATTGGTGGTTTTGTATAAGATCATCACTTTCTTTTGCTCTCGGTAAAGAAAGGAGATATGAAGGGAAAAGCTTTGATGGGCTGACAAAGTTTATTTAACTTGTATACAGGTTGGTGCGACAAGTTGCAGTTGGGCACGTTTATCACAGCCGAGTGATGTCAGGCTCACAATTGTGAGACTCTCTGTTTTTTGGTTATGAATAATATATGTATTGTTCAAGAGAGCTACGCTCTCACCTAAAATATAGTCCCAATAAATTGAGCACTGGCAAGACTGTCAAAGAATTAAAAAAAAAAAAAAAAAAAAAATAGTAACCTGTTTAATTACTAATAGTATTTTTTTATATATAAAGGCCAAATTTTATTTTATCTGAAATTTTACAAATTTACAAAAACAGAAATTTACCAAAATGGAAAATTTTACACTTCAACCTCAAACTCTAATTACACTAAATGAATTAATTACTCAGTAGAACCGATTCTCTAACTCAATTTAATACTCTTGTATTTACCAGAAACCAAGTTACTATTACCAATAAACAAAACGTTCTTGTAGATTCTAGCTTGAAGAAACTCTAGAACAAACTCAAACTGACTCTCTTGAAAAATAACTTTCAGAATCAGCTTTTGGCAATTTTTTATCCTATATTGGAAGTCAGTATTTCGGCCTAAACTGAAAGTTTCGGCCAGGTGAAACTGGTGAAACCTCCAAAACCTAGTTTCACTAAAGGCCTCAAAGCCGAAATCTTCGAAACTGCGCGAAACTGGGTGAAACTGCCGAAACCGGGCGAAACTTCTGAAACCTCTAAAACTGGGCAAAACTGAGCAAAACTTTCAAAACTTCCGAAACTGATAAATACCAAGTTTCATATAAATTATAGTTAGGAACTAAGATTTAAATAAATAATTAATAAAATACGAAAATTTTCGGATATGTGAAAAACACATGCAAAACACATGCATAAATAAGTATAAAGTTACATCTGATACTAGGCGAAACTAGCCGAAACCTCCAAAATTAGACGAAACTGGCCGAAACCTCTGAAATTGGATGAAACTAGCTGAAATCTCCAAAATTGGGTGAAACTGGCCAAAACCTCCAAAATTGTGTGAAACTGGCTGAAGTTTTCAAAATTCACCGAAACTTCCAAAATTGGCTGAAACCTCTAAAATTAGAGAACTTTCCGAAATATTCTGAGTAGAATATCAAAGAACGTAAAATACAAGCAAGATGGAGAAAAAATAGAAGAAATTTCTGAAACTTTCTGAAAGTTTTGCCCATTTCGAAAGTTTCAGATTTTGGGTGAAACCAAAACTTTAGGGGCAAAATGTTTCGGACTTTGGGGAAGATTTAGGACGAAACACTGTTAGAAATACCAAACTCCAAAACTCCAAATAAGAAAATTAGTTAAAGATTTAGTTAACTAAAATTTAAGTGCTCTAACTAGAGCCAACTTATTATATCACTCTACTTAAAAAAACCAAGTAACCAAAATTATCTCTCAATTAAATCAAAACACTAGAAGCGGTTTAAAAAAAACCCAGATTTAAATACTAAAAACCTGCTATTACTTAGAAAAACTCTGTAATAATTTCTGTAATGATATTAATATTCTTCAAGAAATCCGAAATACAATTAAAATTTCTTTGGAATTCTCTTAAGCCCAAACTGTGTAAAAAGATGCTAAATGAACATACTAGCTTATCCAATATTGGGAATTGTCACAACTCTCCATACTCAACATCTCTCTTTAAGTGGTCTTTATCAATTAAATAATAAAAACTTTCACAAGTCGAAAGATAAAAAATCAGGCACAAATCAGGTACCTGATTTTAAACTGATTACTACCTGATTAGCACCTGATTTATGCATATTTTTGTACCAAAAATTTGGTACAAAAATATGCATAAATCAGGTAGTAATCAGGTAGTAATCAGTTTAAAATCAGGTACCTGATTTGTGTCTGATTTTTTATTTTTCGACCTGTGTTTACAAAATTAACTTACAGGAATATTATAGAATGTGCTAAATATCTAGAAACATATTAGATATTTAATCCCAACAGATCCAGAAAGTTCTGACAATCAAAACACATGATAAATGGATTTACGCATAGCTAGCAATTGATAAACAAAGATAAGCCAAGAATTGATAAACAATAAGCCAGAATGGATTTAATACAATACTTGTTGTAAATCCATATTCTTAATGATTTATTATATTTCATTATGTTTGCTAATGTTCCTTAATGTTTTATTATATTTCTTAATATTTCTTAATATTTTTTTATACTTCTTAATGTTTCTTTATATTTCTTAATGTTTCTTAATACTTTTTAAAGTTTTATAATATTTTTTATTATTTTTTATAGTTATATATTCTTGAAAATATGTTGTAAAAAGATATATAAACCCTAGTTTTTCACCTTCCTTGGGACTTTAGGATTGGTTTCCTACAATCTTTAGTTATTAGGATTCTTTAGAAATTGATATCTTTAGATAGCCTCATATCTTGATATTGTACCATAAATAAATATACCTTAATAAACATATATTTTTGCTCTTAAACTATACCGAATCACTCTAGTGAAGTAATATTCCACTTCCACACTGCTTCATATCTTTTTATAGATCCCTGTCACCATGTGCTATGTTGCAAGTACTATATTTCTAAGAAGGCTATAGTCCACTTGTAACAATAGGTTAGGGTTTGGGAGTAGTATTTATTAATAAAAAATTACATATAAATTTTAGGTTTTATAGATTTAAAAAAACTCCCAATTTTCAGCATAATCCATTTTCAGCATCAGCCCCCATAATAAATAACTTCCAGTTCCCATGGGTACTAGGAAAAAACACTAGCTAGTTTATAATTAAATGATTGTGATTGTAATTGCGAACACGATTGCTAAAGCCGGCCAATTTATCATAAATCTGAGCTTGACACAAACTTAGATTCATAATAAATTGGCTGGCTTTAGCAATCGTAATCACAATCATTTAATTATAAAAAAAATGAATCAAACTTATAATATTATCAAACAAAATTTTATTTTAAATTGTTAAAAAATCGGTCGGACAAATTCATATGTAGTGAAAGTGCAAACAAATTTGTGTTGATTACAATTTAAAAATAATTTTCTAACGTAATAATGTATATACAATAATAATAACATAGCCATTATGTGATAGCAGATATCGTTTGCATAAAATCATGAATTAAACAAAAATGCTGTTTCATAGCATGCCTATAAATGCTAATTAAGTGATTCTGATAAATTTTTATTATTAAATTTATATTAAATATATATACGGCACGTAGTGACAAATGTGGTGTGTATTTATCTAAATTGCACCTAATGCCTTAGAGATAAACTGCTGTAATCCACGCAAAACTATTTCAACTGATTTTAGCTCTTGTTCTTCCGTTTCAACACGCGCACCAGTGTCTAACAATTTTCTGATTAAACGTTGTACATTGACCATACGTGATTTCACATCAGTCATTAAATCTTGAATATCTTTTCTTTTATGTGGTTCGGAATAAAAGCTTGATGTCAGTTGCGATGTTGCTAAAACAAAAGTCATCTCAACAAAAGTTGTCGTTGTCTTCCAAGTAACACGCCAGAATTGCCAATCATCAATTTTATTCGAACTAAGAGATAATTCCCATAACTCAAGTAATGTTAACCCATAGTCCATTAATTCTAATAAAGTGGCAATAGTTGCAGGCTCATCATCTGAACCTTTTATCAATGGTTCAAAGTATATACGCTGTTCCGACCATATCGGTATAGACATGGTGAGAACATCCCTAGCATTGGCCAAATGAATATAGGTAGCCAAAATGTTACGTGTGATTATTAAAAGTTTTTGTTGAACACGTTGCAAGAATCTATTCATTTCATAAGAGCCGGGAGATGTAACGTCTATAGATGGCATGACCTTTTGAAATGCAGACTTTATACCATCTGAAATAGGTGTGGTTGATTGTTCTTGTTCTTCGGGTGTTAACGGTAAAACCATCCGAGAAGTATATTTTGGATGAGTAAAAAGATGATTAATCTTAGCCAAAAGTGTTGTTAAGGATTCTCTATAGTAGTGAGAAATTTCGATTTCGTCTGATGGCCCTATATGAAGCGCCAACTGATGAAATAGCATTGTCGTACGTTGAATTTCCTCTAAGAATGGCATGTTAATTGGTAGTTCACATGCCAATGCGTGGATGATTTGATTATTGAAGAGAATGACAAAGCCTAATACGTTTCTTAAATAATTAGCCTTTTCTTTACTTTCGATCGTACATAGTGTACTTGTTACTACCGCCAACATGAAGCACCACACTTGATGACGATCATCTTTTGAATTTGGTTGAACATCACCTTTTTGCAGAGCAGGAGATAATTTATTGTTACAAAATTCTGGCATTATTCCATCATGATACAACTGCTTCGCTGCAACTGGAACATTTGCTAGAGATAAAAGAAAATACATCACACTATCAGTGTATATCGGGCGATTCTCCCATGGAAAAGATAAAGAATAGGTAAATGTATTGAGAAGCAACTGAATTATATGATGATCTTCTAGAATCTTGAGCCAGACAGTTGGATATGGACTACATAATGGTTTTATAAGTTTTTCCAGGATTGCAACTAATGTCAAAATGTCTTCTGCAAAAGCACTATCATTTATTTTCCTACTCATAAGCGATTCTAATAAAGCGCTAATTTCTGTAAGAAGTGAACGGCAAGCATAGCGGAATCCTGATAAAATTGACGCATCACGCGATAAAAGACTATCAGTATTACGAAGTGCGCGAAGGCATAATAATAGTGATTGTAAAAGCGGTCGATGAAACGGTGGTGTAGAGCGTTCTACAACGGACTCACGGATAGGAAAAATTACGCTCATTATTCCGTTGTGTAACAGATTAATCAACTCAGCATAATGTATAGTATGATCGGAGATAGATGGTTCTTCGGAAATCGATAATCGTTCCAATAAGTGTAGCAACAAAGAGGCTAAATCATCACGAATCATCATCATTATAATATGCCCATCCCGCGTTTCTTCTTCAATACGTTCCGCAATACCTTTCAAAATCGGCCAAGAAACATCTGATTTATTTTTCAATGTCCAAATGATACCAGCCAACCTATCAGAGGCTGCTTCCATAAAATATTTCCATGACCTAAGTAATACGACCTGTGCATCTATCCGGGACCAATGATGATTTTCTTTACATAACGCATGCAATAACCTTTCAGAATCTAGTGAATTGTTGCGAAGGTTCAATAACTTCCTTGCTAAATTAATATCATACATATAATTATCGCCATAAAGATGACTTAAATCATAATCCTCATTCCAACAAACAATGGTCAGCCGCTGCAATTTGAGCCAAGGAAAGTTATTTTCTCTAATATCATAAAGAGAACGTTGAATTGTTGAATCATAGTCGATACTTGTAAAATCTTTAAGCCATGTTATAAGCTTATTTGAATCTTTAATTTCTGCAAAAATTGTTCTCAATCCACCTGAAGGAATAGCTTTGAGAAAATCAGTAGCGTCTTTTGTACGATTAGAGGATGTCAAAATGTAAATTTCATGCGCTAATATTCGCAGCACCCGAGCTTTAATATTAAGATGGCAGCATACCTGTGCCACAGTATCATTAACATCACTGATAAGACGATCTTGTACTAAATCGAAAACTTTATGTGGTAGTATCTTTGTATTCAAGTCCCCAAAAAGTATTGCAGCTAAATTGTCCCAAAATTTACTATCTTCCCGTAATATTTTTAAAATACTATTATCAGGGCTTCGGGAATTTTCCCATAATACATCAAGGAATCGTATTGTGGCTAGTAATAAAAACGGCTTTTCCTGCTGAATATTTTCCCAATCCTGTAGAAAGTCGAGAACAATTCGAATGATAGAATCAAAAGAATTAGCGTCCATGGCTTTACTTTTGCCTTTACGATCAAGTATATCAGGGAAAACATGAGACCCCTGAATAATTAACCCGATATGCGCGTGCGTTGAAATCGTAAAAAAATTTAATATGGCAACTTGAAGAGTTGGGGCTTGAATCTCGGATTTAAGCCTATGCAGGAAAAGATTTATTAAGTTTTTTGACTCGGCGCCATTTCCAAGAAGACTACCCAACGATGTCCACTTTGGTAACGATTTTACAGCCAACGCAATAATCAAGGTTAACAACTCACAGGATAATATCGAGATATTCAAGTTATCTGTACATTTGATAAATGATGCAATAGCTGCAACTAATCCACTATTATTATTTTCTGAAGATCCATCCAACAAACTAACTTCCATCCATGAGACTTCAGCGCTTTTTATCCGTGTTTTTAACAACCTCAAAAGAAATGACAATGTCAACTCTAACAACTCGGTTGAATCCCGTGACATTTGATAGTTCGAAACTCTTTCTACATAATGCCTCTGCTCTTTTCCTCTTTCAATTATAGAAAATAATGGTAGTGCATGATATAAGCCACCTTCATTTAAAAAACTTTTTGATAAATTGTTTCGTAGAGAATTTTGTAACGGACTTTCTTTAGTAGATACCATAGGATCAGTATGCTTAGGAATTTCATTTCCAGGTGGACATCCCAACATAATTCTATTGAAAATTTCCAAACATTTGCGACCAACTTGAACATGCACCACAGAATTATTGTAACGCCAATGATCATACGAAACAAAAATAGCACACATTACGTAATATGTACATGAATGAAGTACATCTAGAGGACTTTCTGCATCAGGGACTAATTCGATCTGTTCAATGTTACTTAAGATACAAATTACTAGATCTAAGAGGGCGAGTGTCACTGGGTAAATGCCCGAAATGCATTCACGTTCCATTAGCAGATATTGTAATTGATCAATTGATTGAGTATAGTTAATAGTTCCATCAGTTGTCACTATTTCTGGTAAAAGTCTTGAATGTTTAAGGTATGAACAAATTTCATTACCAAAATGAGGTAACAAAGCTTTCAAACACCTTAAACAACAAGCAATTAATTCTATTTCATCATGAGATATTTTATTTAAAAAACGAAAACCATGTTTAATCACGGCAAAAATAATTGATGGAAAGTCTGTATAATATCTGATAATTTCTTCACGTGATTCTAAGTGCTCGATAAATGGTTTAACTAAATTTGGTGCATATGTTAAAACTGTATGTAAAAGTTGCAAAATATCTCTAATTCTAGAAATTATAGTATCCTCTGATAATGATGAAATGGATCCTGACTTATCAATTTGTGTCATAGGAAAAGATTCTAACATGTTTCCAAAAAGATGCCAAGCCGAATAATTGAATTTCCAACGAACTATCTTGTTCCCATTGGTGAGAGAGACTATGTTACCATGTGTACCCTGCGGAATTGTAATAGCCTTTTGATAAAAGTCTTCAAATATTTTAATCGGTTGACTAGCAAATACTACATATTGACCAGATTCAACAACATTTATTTGTCCGTCATTAGCCAAGTAACAACATACAGAGAACGATTGTAAAAATTCAAATACATATTTCGCAGAAGCAGAATTGGCAGATAAAGCAGTAAGCAACCGCATGAGTGGACCAAATTGTTGTGGAAATCTAGCTATTGCCAAATCCAATAATGACCTTCGTTTAGGATGATCGAAGTCCTCTTCCCAAAATTCTTGACATGGGCCATACTCTCCAAATACTAACGCAAAACATTCCACAAGACCTTCATAATCCGGTAAATGGTTAACCTCATAAGCTTCAAAGATTGACATGAAAAAATGCTTAAATACTAATTTGTAACCTGTAACATATGGTTCTTCTGGCCGAAAACACGAACCAGTTAGGACAAGGTTAATATACTTAATTACATTAAGCTTGAATGCTTTGATACCGAATTCCCTTGTTATACTGTTCACGATCGTTTCAAGATCTTGATAAGCATAAGGCCAATTCGTTTCGTCAAAATAGGTTTGTAAATGAGATAAATATGATGACCAAATCCATAAAAAAATTCCATGTGTTGGATCATTGCCCATTTTTAATGCAACTTCATTGATAGCCATGATATCTTGTTGTGATGAAGGTCGTTTGAGACGTAAAGGAGCAGATGGTAGAATAATGTCAACATTAAATTCAACAAATAGAATTATGATTACCAAAATTTGACTAAGATCGTGGGCTTGAGAAACAATTTCTTTTCCAAATGGATCAAGAAATCGGTCAGTAGGCTGATCACGACCAAATCTTGTACTAATCGAATGGTTGAGAAATTTTAATAGCAACAAATGAGATGATTGTTCTGGAGATTGTACAGCATATCGTAGGAACAAAAGATCTAATAAAACTTTTTGCTCTTTTATAGACTGAGTTGCCCATAATGTTGCTAAGTCAGCATCCAAAAAGTTTTGAGGTACATCTTGTTGAGATTTTCGTTTAAATTGATCAAATATTCTATCTTTAAAGGCATCGTCTAAAAAATGATTTTGAATTATTTCTATTGACAATTCGTGATACACTTTATCTGGATCTAATGCTAGGAAAAATAAATAGCATAAAATTTCAATAACATTAATTCTTTCTTCAAAATAATGCTGAATTATCTTTTCTCGTAATTCATCACTACTCCATTGTTCCCATGTCACGTTCTCTTCTTTGAAGCTGCGGATTAAGTTTTTACAAACGGACGAATCAAGCAGAAGCAGGTTGCTAAGAGAGGTTTCGGTAAGATCAAAAGGTTTATCACCCATAGTTGTTGGTGGAGCGGCCAAAGTTTTTTTATCGTATGCATCCAACATTTGCTGCAAATAGTCTAAGTTATCATTTAAAATTTTATCCATAACATTTGGTGGACACTGACCATCGGATAATATCAGGGTTGTACGAATGGTCCCGAAAGATCTACGAATACCAAAAGCAAGAATAATTTCATTTTTAGGGGAAAAAGGAAATAACTATATAGAAACACTTATTTAATTTAAAAGGTATATATATATTCTTATAATAGTTGAAATGTTTTCCTGCGTCGGGATTGGTAACAGAAACCAAATCAGATTTTTTCTAAAAGCGAACACTTTGACGCGTCAAAAACCAACCTGCCAAATAGTTGTACCAAGGCCGGATCAATAGATTGTTTTGAGGTTGCTTGAGATTTTGGTTTATTAATGTCATTTTGAGTACGCGGAGGAGTATTTAGAAAAGATAATGAACTACGAGACATTATTTTAGTAGTGAATTAAACTACTGTATTGTATATAAATGATATGTAGCCAATCACAAATCTAATCTATATAACGATAACGATAATTAATTTCTTATAAACTTTGAATTCATCGAAATATCATCGCTTAATAAAGTTATTTTTAAAAATTTCGGAAAAATACATTTACATACATTACTGGATAGTTTATGCAATAAAAAAAATAGTATAAGATAGAAGCAATTTCTATTTGGCCATTTAAAAACTTTTTATTATAAAGAACAAAGTTACTGATTAGGTTTTTAAAAATTTATAAGTTTGTTTAAAATTGAAATATATGCTATATAGACAACATTATTTATTAATTTTTGAAACGCATTGACCTTTATAAAGCCATAATTGTCTACCCGCACCATAGTTGATTTGGTCAAAAAGAACTTTTTTTTATTTGTATTTACTGTACGAACATACAGATTATCACGGTAATTTTACATGCGAAACTGACATACAACTCATTTTCTCATTTTATAGACTCAAGTCATAAAATAGGGAATGGTTATAAAGTGAAATATTTTTTTACACATCGTGTGAATTCTATAACTTTACTATTTATTGCCGTTGCATTTATAAATTATCTATTTTACAAAAAGAATAATATTTTTTATCAAGATTTCATTTCATCGTTACCTATCGAAAAAAAGATTGTATAGTTAACATGTGATAAATAAAATAAAATTGTTATAAACTCTAGACGCAATATTATTACCAATTCTTCTCCAGCAGTAGGGTGTATCGCAACAGTACTATCAAAATCTGCTTTCGTAGCACCCATTTTAACAGCAACCGCAAACCCTTGTAACTATAAAATAGGCAACATATAGCATTATTGATTTCGGCAATATTAAGTGTAACAAGAAAAGACCAACATAGGTGTATAATTACAATTTCAGCGGAGTCTTTTCCAACAAGGTGAACACCGACAACCTTTTCTTCTTCACCTACTACAACAAGTTTATATGCTGTTGCGGGCTCTATTGAAGAATTATAAACATTAATCAACTATTGAATTTGTTGTATAAAAACAAAAAAGATAAACTTTTATTGAAAGAAAAATTACTTTGTTCAGTCATAGCATAGTACATGTTTATGAATTTAGAAGTGTAGGTTTTGACATTTTCATCTCCAAACTTTTTTCGTGCTTCAGGTTCTGTCAAACCAACAGTACCACAAGTACCATGAAATACGACAGTTGGGATGTTGTTATAATCAAGTTTACTGGATTTGAACTTTGGAGGACCAAAGACACGATCAGATAAACGTCTCCCGGCAGCAATAGCAACTAAGTGTTTTTTTTTTTAAAAAAAAAAAAAGGAAAAGAAAGGAGAAAAAAGTTAACGCGAAAATATATTTCAACATTATATGATTACCATTGCATAGCTACCAGGTGTTAACTGCGCCACACCACAGACGTCACCTAAAGCATAAATTTCTTCGACAGTGGTATTTTGATATTCATCACTAATGATATACCCTTTCTCATTTAGTCTGACGCCGGTACATTCCAAATTTAACTCTTCAATATTCGGAATCCTTCCAATCGCCCATAGAACAGTATCAAATTCTTCTACTGCATCGTTTGTTTCTTTTGAGGTAAAATTAACTTTTATAGGACCAGAGGGCGAGTCACGTGACAAAGAATTTACTTTGGCACACGATAGAACGTGTATACCCTCCTTTTTTGACTGTTCAAGAAGCGTATCTTTGATAATTGGATCAAATGAACGCAAAATTTCATCCGAACGAGTAATTATATATGTATTCGTTCCTGAAGATTTATTACAAATCAAAAATTACGCAAGTAATTATATAAGTAATTCATAAAATTTAACACTTCAAGGTAAAAAGCATACCTAAAGTGTTGAATATTCCAGCAAGTTCAACTCCAATGTATCCTGTACCAACGACAAGAACTTTTTTAGGCTGTTCTTCAAGATCAAAGAAACCATCGCTCGTAATGCCCAATTCGAAACCAGGGATTTCACGGGGTAAGCGAGGGCGACCACCTATTGATATGTTTGTTAATAAAAAATTGATAATTAAATATAATAGTATGTAAAAACGTTTTACCAGTGGCAATTAGAATTCTTTTTGCTTCTATTTCCTCAACCTGTCCATCGCGTTCTATTCTTAACTTATTTTTGGATACGAAACTTGCCTTTCCTTCAATATATTCGACATCATCTTTGACAAGATTATTAAGATAAATATTATTTAGACGCTTAATGTATGCATCGCGTTTTTGCTTAAGGAAGCCCCAATTGAATTTAGGAATCGATGTTAGATCAAAGCCATACTGCTGCGCATCATGCAAAGCTTCAGCAACAGAAGCTAAACGTATTTGTATGTTATTATTAATTAAAATAAAATATTAAAATTAACAACGCAATTTAACCAAGTAGGCGCTTTCAATCTTACCAGTATTAAACATAACCTTTTTAGGAACACAACCGACGTTAACACAAGTTCCACCTAACCGACCACTCGATTCTATAATGCCAACCTTAGCACCATAAGAACTGGCGCGCCTGGCCGAAGCTAAACCACCACTACCTCCACCAATAACGAGGTAATCATAATGGTTACTTTTTGCAATAGGAGGCATATTTGAAAATGCTTTTGAAAGTTGTAAAGTACGATTTTTTGCGGATACGATTGGGTCTTTAAATTCTATCAATGTTCTTGAAATTTCTGAATAACGCGAAATAAATCGATGCATTAAAAAATTTTAGTCTATTTAAAATTTTGGAAATCTATTTTTTTGATTAATAATTCAATTTAATGAGGAAAGCAAATATTACGTAATGCCTCATTTGAATATGTCACTTTCCTTACCCGAATTAACTATACAGATTTTCGCATTTTCTTCATACGATGATACCTGATATATCGTGTTTTGGTATAAATAAAGGACTATAGTAATTATCACTATGATAATAAGTTTTATCAATCTCCTAAAGCACATTTTATAGATCAAAAATAATTAATCCCTTCCGTAAATGGTTAAATATATACATTTTTCTAACATCATTTTCCCACATAAATATTGAAAAGTTTAACGTTAGCGAAGCATTTAATTTAATTTAATATCAAGATAAATTTTGTATTTTCATTCTCAGGTTCTTTGAATCACATAATCTGGTCATGTAAATAACCATAGACTTTTGATCGCATATCACGAAATATATACTGAGTTTGCCTTACTACTTCATTCACTCGTCATCTCCTCTTTCTTTTTTATATTTATCCCTTCTGAGTTAAAGCAAAAAAAGGTGGATTCTTAATGGGTTATTCTTATCCATGACTTCATTTTTTACTACGTATTCACTTTACGTATCGTAATCACTAATCGCTTAAAATATTCATAATTTATCTATTTATATTCAAGAGTAACTGATCCTATTGATATAGATGCTGTACGTACGTACTTATTTTTTTGTGATTAATAAGAAAAAATTTTCAAAAAATCAAAAAAGTAAAAACCAATTGGAGAAAGATTGTATACGTAGATACTATATACTTTTGATATATTATACGAAATTCAGTCAATTAACGAACAGGAGAAACCGTCCAAATATGGATATGATTTTCATTCTCCGTTACACAGATCACTCATTGTATCGACCAGTCAAAATATCACTACAGGATTAGTCAACCAATCAAATTGCGAAATTTACAAAAAGATGAAACCATGGGATTCAAAGGGATTCAAAAAATATGTTGTAAAGCAAAGTGAGAGCTTCATGTTTGTTTAACAATTTTCAATATTCATAGAAAAGATAAGTCAAGCGAGCCTTCTAAAAAAGTATTGTAAAATAATATAAAAAAAAATTTTAATCAATTGTGTAACGATTTTGTGACGTATCAACGGTTCCCCCTGTTCAATTAACGTATGACACATTTGTAATACATTTATTTGTGTAACTCATTTTTTAAAATTCACGTTATACTAAGCTTAAAGATCCGGTTAAAAACTTAGTCACAATAGTGCAGTAACTTTATTTCTTCAGAATGTACATGTGACATTATTACTATAATGTTTCATTGATCCACATTTATGTTTTATATTAATAATTTTTTCCAAATGGATACAAATGATATAAAATATTAGTCCTTAAGATGTTCGAATATTAATAATGGGCACCTTTGTCTTCATAGGACTCGAGTTCGAATCACGCTGATAGTTTACATTCAGTTGGGAACTACCATTTCTCATGCTACGTTTCTCCGTCTCAACAATAAGTTCCTAAAATGGAATATACAATATAAGTAAGAATACTTAATAGACTATTAAAAACACTCTTACTTTTAATTCATAACATCTTTCCATGACGGAGAGAATTACAAGGAACTCTGCCACTTCAGTTGGAAAGGTCATTTCAACTAGAGACATGAACTGATGTAAACCATCGTAATTTAAAGTAATTCTCCAAAACTCGATTCTGTTTCCTATTACACAAATATATAATTAGCATGTTGCTTATAAATAAAGGATTGGCTTTGATTATTTACCGTTAATGAGTACACCGTATGTTTCGTCATGGATTCCTTGGTCTAATGCACCTTTCATAAGATTGGCCAATTTGGCAAGTGCCTGATTTACAATGAATTTATGGTTTTCCACTTTTGGTGGTTTAATTTCACCGAATAAAATTTCAGACTGATTTTCATCTTCACTAATTAAACGAAAGTCTGGCTTTAACCCATGGGCATTACCGTCTTCTGAGCGTTGATTTTTAGACGAACTACTCTCCCCATTTGCCCTATATAAAAAGTCAACAATACCTTTATAAAAAAGCTGATCATAAAACAATATCGTAAAACCGGGGGTAAAGCCTCACTGAAAAAAAAAATTATAAAACATACCATATAAGTTGCATATTTTCGATACGGAAAATTTCTTCCAAAATTACATGACAGGTTCTGTGGACGTAAGTATCTTCACTTGATAAATTCTTATTTTTACCATATGGCAAATTGTAAAAACTACAAATGACATAATATGTCGCAGGTAAATTACTTATAATGTCATTAAATATTTTTTTCTACTTACAAATTACGTGTTATCATCTGCATTGAGTCAAATATCCTCCTATCGTTTTGATCTTCCAATAATGAAACTTTACTCCAGTTCTGCCTCCACAAGTCTTCAAATTCTGTCGAATCACCTCTCATTAAAGGCTTACGAAAAAAAACCGCATAATCAGTGTAGTAAATCAATATAGCATTGAATTTATATCCTTATATGTTTACCTGCATATATGAACATACTGTGACTTGGATAAGGGTTGGCATCTTAAATTTATAGATAATATGCGGAAACGCCATTCGCCACTCATTCTCAGTACGCAAAACATAAGCTGGTTTTTTGTTTTTTCTTAATATCATTATGCTTGATAAAGCACTATTATAGGTATAAATAACATGGTGAACATCCCATTAAAGAAAATTAAAAAAATACAACGATTTGCTGAATTAAGTACCCACATTATAGATTCAACGTCGGTTGCATAGCTTAAAGTTGGATCAGTTTTTAATTTTTCAATAACCGACTTCTGAAATTTCCGAAAATCATCTGAAAAATTGTGTCCGTCATTAATCCACTATTCAATGAAAATACAGGGAGGCGATTTAGTAAAATCACAGTAAGCAGGTTCATCAGTTCCAAACATTTGTGGACATACATCCTTCGTTGAATTTTCATTTATTTCCATTTTCGGTATTACATGTTCCCATGTAAAAACTTGTTTAGAGCTCGCTTTAATGTTGAATGAAGACATCGCGAGGTCATTACTAAGTTCTCTTGCAGAAATAGCATAATTTTCTCTGGCCTAAATTAAAATATATAAGCGGATGCACAAACATTTAAGATGATTACGAAACTAAACAAATGGTGTTATTCTTACCGTTTGCTCATTATCAAAAGTCTCAATGTTAATATGTTCATTATCATAATCGTCATTACTGTCTCTTTTACGCTTTCCAATAATTGCATTCGTTATATCATCTAATGCTTTCGATTTAGATACTTGAACCCGCAAGGACTAAATGTTATTTGTTACTTTAATGTTATGTCAGTATATTGATAACTTGTATAAAAAATATAAGAACCTGCTTTTCCTGAATATCAATTTCATTTTCCTTCATTAATTGCCGTCGTTCAATACGCTCAATAATCTTCTCTGCAAGCTCCATGAAAAAGTTTCTTTCATCTATAACACTATTGTTTAGATATATCGAAGTTTGAAAGCAAGATTTATAGTAAAAGTTTACCTTCGTAGCCGTCTTTAGATTTTTTGCATAATCCATAACGAATTTGGGGTAATTACCATTCTCGATGCATGCTAGTGACCTACAGAAGCTCCTAAATAGTTCTTCTGCTGTATAGACTCGGCCATCTTCTAACTTGAAGTTTATAAACGCATTGAAATGTTGCCATTCAGAAATTGGATTCACAGAAAAGTAAGGATCGATTTCTGCATGCGTAGGGACTTTATAGTCCATGTTTATAGAAAGAGTATTATAAGTACGCGTTTCGACATTCTCAATTTTTATTAGGCAACTACGTGCAGCCGTGTTTCACAGAAAACCGCAGAATTTCTCTTAAAAACAACAAATCGCAGAATTGTCTTAAAATTAACTTATTCAGAAAATCAAGGTAGTTTTTTTTTATGTAAGGCCTTCGGCTACATTAAGATAAGTATTATAAAAATTCTTTCACAGCCTTTATATGAGGGCCTCGCAGAAATGCTCGCCTTCACACCATCCCTACGCTTTGGACTCGGGAAACCTCTCCGAAGTTTATGATTCGTGTTTTCACTCTCGGGAGGTGTATCGTAGAAAGAGATGAGGGTCTCGCAGAAATGCTCACCTTTTACACATCCCTACGCTTTGGACTCGGGAAACCTCTCCAAAGTTTATGACTTGTGTTTCCACTCTCGGGAAGTGTATCATCGCGCAGTGATAAATCGATTATAAAAAAGAGCTATCTAATTTAATTTTTGGAATTTTTATGTGATCTTTTAATGCTAAAGATATACTACTTTTTTCAGAAAAACACCACGTTTGACTGGCCATACTGTATATGCAAATAAAAGCAATTTTCATTGATCGGTTACTAATGAGGGAGGTAGTTGTCATGGAACTTTTTTTTTTCTTTTTTAAAGAGCTGTAATTACTAATATTTCCGGACTAACATAAATACTATGGCAGAAGAAAACACTCACTTAAAAGAAGCTGGTATATTATGCCTTGAAGTTGCTGAAGAAAAGTTCCAGATAAAACGATTATACTAATAAGTATGATTTTTGGTTGTGGTTGCGTGTTTGCAAATAAAGCAACTTCTGGACTTGCAAACTAATAACTATTTTCTTTATACAAATTTCCGAGAAATTTATTTGTGGGGAACATAAATTATCAGCGGATTTTGTCTCTCAGTCTGAAAAAGATATAGGTTAATGGGATGGCCAATAATGTGGGTATTAATTTTTCTGGTACTGTATAGATATATAACTGATGACCATTTTTATCTTATATTTGATTCTTTCTGATTGATTAAGAATAACGCATTAGTCAATTTTTAGCTTTGGAGAATTTGGACGATCTGAAGTTTTCGAAATTCCTTAGCAAATATGATCAACAAATTTGAATAACCCACAAGATGATTGGCTTTTTTATTATGCATTTTTTATTTTTGTAATTTATTTTTATTTTTTATTTTTACCACATCAATAAAGTTAGCTCTGGTAGCTGATTTCGCACACATAATCGCGTTTACTTTTGCATGTATATTTCATGAATTTATTTATTGCATTGATATCTATGTCTTTTAACTCACATATGATTGAGAATTTTTCTTGGCAAAAGTGATCGGCGTGAAGAATCTTCACGCGCACAAGATTTTTTATTTGAAATTAAAGGCATAAATCAATAAAAATATTTCAAGACGTATACAATATTCTTCCGAACATTTTTGACAAAATTATATAAATTGATATTAAACATGCAATCTAAAGACGATGAGTTGGAAACTCGAGTCTCTGACTCCTTATTGAGAGAATTGAATTCCAGGCTCGTAACCGAAATTGATAAGCTTAGAAGAGAGAAGGATTCACTTATAAGTAAAAATACCAAGCTCTTGGCTAGTGTTCAAAGACAAGCCGGCTTATCACGGCTTGCTGCGGCTTAATGCGGCTTATCATGTGATAAATTCGAATTTATCACCAAGTCATGTGATAATCGCGAAGATATCACATGATAAATTCGAAGATATCACATGGCTTAGTGATAAATTTCGAATTTATCACGTGATAAGCCGCATTAAGCCGCAGCAAGCCGTGATAAGCCGGCTTATCTTTGAACACTACTCTTGGCTAGGATTGTAGAATTAGAACAAACTATAAAAGAAGATGCTGAAAATACAAAGTTAAGAGATGCTGAACTTAATACCAGAATATTCGAATTAGAACGATCAACAAAAGAAAACGAAGAGCTTAGAAACAGAGTAGCGAAATTGGAACAGAACCAATGCATCGATACTAATACCAAATCGTTAGATGATGAACCAAATTCTAACGATACTTCTGAACAGATAATCTCATGTAATGAGGAGTTTAATTCTGACATATACCAGGATTTGGTAACCCCCATATCTCCCACAGAAACCATATCATTTGATTCACAAAGTGACTTATATCGCCTGGAAGAGAAGGTAGAAAATGAATTTCTGGATTCAAAGCATAGAGAAACGATTAGAAAAGAGATAATTCAGAACATTAAGGAGAAGAAGCTTCGGGATCAAGAGTTACTCTCAACTCCTGAGAATACTATCTCTAAGATTTCTATATCACCGAATAAGAATGTTTCCATACCCGAAGCAGAGAAATCATTATTTAATAAAGATCTAAATATTCAAGATACAAAACTTTCTTCTTCTGAATCTAAATCATCTATTATCTCTTCATCCAATTAGGAAGAAAGTGCTATTTCTTCTGAAACAAAAACTCCCTATAATCAAAAGGTTGAAAAAGGTTTAATATGTGAGTTATCTACATTTATTAACGAGAAAAGCCTTTCGAATCCCATACCTGATAAACAAATTCTTAAAAATATACTAGATAGAGATGATTTAATTCTGGATTCTGCATCATATTTGGCTCATTTATTCGACAAGGCTAAAAAAACTGGACAGAAAGAAATTTTACGTTGGTATTATTATAGTGAGGAATTCAAAAAAAAGGTCAGAGATATTAGCTTAAAAAACGAAATTAATGATCAAATGGCAAGAACACAAATTTATAATGAAATGGAACCATTTCTTCCTGGCATCAAGAGAGAGTATTTGCATAAGAAAACTCAAAAGGCTAGAAATATTTATACATTGTTTAAAGAAATAGGAATAGATAAAATCAAACAAGTTACGTATAGTGCTGATGCTATTTCTAGTTTAACAGGTGTTCAAATCCAAAACATAATAAAGCTTTTCTCTAAAAAAACTGAATGTCAAAAAGTAATCGGCGTGAAGAATCTTCACGCGCACGTGAGTGAACCATTTAGCTCAAATGATATATCAAATATTGAGATAAGTGCATCGCCCACTCTAAACCTCTTTCCATTAAAGAAAATGCTGTCAAAAGAAACGTGTAATCAAGTCATTAATAAATTAATTACACATTTTATCGATTCACCAAAGTTGGATAAAAATAATAGCATCAAACTGATTCTTATTGGGTTTTAGGTTCATATTGTCCACTATATAGAGAAAATCATATGAGTTTGCAAGGTAAGTAGTAGTCAGATAATCAAGACAATAAATTTTATTATTTGTATTGTGATAATATCAAAGACCCAGGGATCCCATTCGAAAAGGTACTAGAAGCCTATCCTGAAAATTCCAAATTAATTCAGGAGTTAAAGACTCAATCCTTCACATTACCTATTTCTTGGAATAATGCACTTAAATTTTTAAATAAAAGCATAACAATGGAGGCATAATTTTCTATAGAGTATCGCAAGTCAGAAATAGAAAATATTACATCTGTAGCTCACAGTGCACATTGATATATATATTTTTTTAAAATAAAAAATGGCAGTGCCATTGACCCCTTTTTTTATTTCATAAAAATGTTGCCAGAGCAACAATATACAAATAAAAAAAAATACATCACAGTTGCATACTGTAGACAAAAATATGAACTATTTATTAATTTTGATTTAGCCTTTCTTGTTGTTGTCCAGGATTCTCATACTCATTGAAATCATTTTCCTCACACCATTCTGAATTTTCTTCTGAAAAATTGTCCAAGGGTCTGCCTTCATCAACGTTATAGTCATCATCTTCTCTGGGGTCATAGGTTGAATCGTCTAATTTAATGCATAGACATGGCTCGATAAAATGAGTTTTAGCCTTAGTTTCACAAATATATGAAGAGCGCTTTCTAATAAAAGTTACCTCCTACCATATCTGTTTCTCCTACTTCTACATTGACGATTGGAATTAGATGTCCTTTGGCTAGGTCTTGGATTGGGCGGTGTTTGGGAGATATAATAGTTCTCGGAGGGGTTACTATCATTAGTCATGGAGGTGGTAGTGTTATTACTCGTGGTAATGGCGTTATTAGTCTTGGGGGTGGTGTTGGTGTCATTAGTCTTGATGGTGGTGGTTTTTTTTTTACTGCTCATTTTTCATATCTAAATACAAAAAACAAAGTAAGCAAAATTCGTTTTCATAGTCTCCGTTAAATAAAATAGCAAATTACTTAAAAAATAAATTACGGGCAAGTAGACAAGTAAATTTATATATGAGCAAAAAATAACGTTATTGCTAACTTATCTTATAGGCGGGAGCCTGCTTATTTTTATACTTCACGTTCGTTAGGTCTGAGAACCTGCCAGAAGGAAAACTCCATTAATAATTAAGTTACTCAAATTCAATGCCAGTTTTTATTTCCATAAAGCAACTCCGCTCGGTCATAAGTTCCAAATACTGAATGTATTTTATTATTTTTTTAGGTGAAATTAAACTCCTTAGATTCGATGATCACTTAAGGTGGATTTAGATCTGACGATCTCGAGATGGCGGAGATTTCAAGTTCATACAACATATGAATTTTTGATAAAACTACTGATAAAGAACATTATACTCATTGCCCTTATAGCCTTTTTAAGTCTCATTCTTATCGTGGGATCGTATAAAGTAAGGAAAAGGGTCTAGACATTCATAATATTCGTTAATAAAAAAATCGCACCGTGAGAAATAATAAGTGACACCACATAAAATTTAATGCAGGCCATTGATTAATAAAGCTGGTCAAATTTTTATCGCTATTTTTCGACCTAGGCCAAAATAAAAGCGGACCCGCGGGAACCGTTAAATCATATAATATGACACAATACGTACTTATTTTTTTCTGAATCAATGTTGAAATAAATCGGTAAAAAAATGTGATGCTAGATGTTTGATCTGTTATAATAGGGTGCTTATTCTAAATTTGAAATCGGGCTTGAGGTATATAGCGTGTAAAATTATTACTGTACCCCATATAAGCAAATATCTAATCCCAAATATAGAAAACGTGCGATTGTTAATAGATTTGCCGTGTCCAATAAATGTGGTGC